TTTCAGCAGCCAGGTGACCAGTGTCTGCATGGTCTCGTGTCCAGGTCAACCAGCCCCATGCAGAGTCGCCTGACCTGGGCACCTGTGTGGGCAGAGCCAGGAGGGATGGAGCAGAGATAGTTCTGCTCAAGGGTAGCCCCTTAGAGTTGGAGTTGGGCCTGGCACAGGGGGGTGTCTGATCACACTCCCTGGTATGTGGGTCACCTGTTGGTGCATGTGCACAGTGTAGTTATTTTTCTAAGGGCACTAGTTAAGAGCCTGATTTAAGTCTGGGATCTGTAGATCCGAGGCTCACATGGACACTACCTGGGATCAAGCGTGCGGCTAACCTTCCTGCTTCGTGTGAGCGGTGACCTCGGCGCTTCCTAGGTGGCGCCCCCCCCCCCCCCCTTTGCACTCTGACCCCATGCACAGTGACTGGAGCTGTTCACGGAACCCAGGGCACCCTGACCCGGTGTGCAAAAGCTGGGTGACCCCAAAGGCACGACCCAAGCTGGCACTGATCCCTCCTCTCCCCGCAGGCTGTCCTACGACCCCACCCGCTACCCTCGGCTCCTGCCGGAGGCCTACTGCCTGTGCCGCGGCTGCCTGACGGGGCCGCGCGGGGAGGAGGACCTGAGCCTGCGCAGCGCGCCCGTGCTGCTGCCCACGGTGGTGCTGCGCCGCACGGCGGGCTGCGCGGGCGGCCGCTCCGTCTACGCGGAGGAGTACGTGGCGGTGCCCGTGGGCTGCACCTGCGTCCCCGCGCCCGACCGCGACGCGCCGGCGCCCGAAGCGGACCGCGGCGGGAGAGCGCGGCCCCCGGAGCCCGGCCGCGAGGAGTGGGACAGGCACCTCCGCAGGCCTCTCCGTGCGGGAGCAGGACGGTGAGCTGGGCCGGCCTCGCCGCGGCTTCTTTAGGCGCAGTCGGCGCCCGTGGGCCCGGAAGGAGTCGGCCTCGGCAGGAGCGGCCGCCCGGACAGGACGGGCGCCCCTGAGGCTCCTGACCCGCCCACCGCTGCCAGGACCAGCAGCCACACCTAGGTGATAGATGAGTTTCAAACCATCTTTTTATAAGCATATATACCTACTCACTTTCAATAGGGGCAGAAACTATTTTTATATTAGTGACTTAATATTAAAACTTTTAAGTTGCATGTTTTATTAGCCTCGTTTTCACTTCTGCTAGCTTGTAGCACAGTTGGGATCCTCAGATAAACTATAGCGGGTGCTGTGTCCCGAGTCTCTGCAGCCGGCCTGCTCCCATTGCCGGCCCAACCAGATGGACAGGGTTGAACCCGACATGCCTAACGGTCAGGTCTGTCTCCAGGAGCTGCTCCTGGGATAAAAGGAAGTGTCATCGGCTCAGCACTCCAGAGCCATCCCAGAAATCCTAAAGTAGGGCGTCTTACTGAATTAAATTTCTTTTTCACTTTTCAAAGTCAGTGGGGCCAATTTGAGGGTGACAGGTGGAACATGACATCTTTGCCAACTCCCAGGAACCTAACTTGGCTGTTCGAAGGGCCAAGTCGCATGTGAGGGGGAAATGAGCTTACAATTTCCAGAAAGCAGTATTGAGCCTCTTTTTCTATATGTTGTAGTGTGAGCTGAATCCGTACTTCTTTAGCCTGGAAGTCTGTCCCTGAACATAATGACTTGCATAGAGGTACTTTTTAAATCATTAGAATGGTTGCTGGTGTAGGTCTATGGCTTGTGTGTATTTTTTTCTCATCAGCTCAACTTTGTTTCAGAGGAAACAATATGTTTATTAAAGTCTTAATCTTAATTTTATGGTGGAAGTTTAAGATTATTTGTCTTAGATCAGGTGATCACATACAGTCAATCTCTTTGCCCTCCTGTGACGCCCACCCAAGCCGAAAAGTGCCCTTTCTTCCTGTGTTTCACTCCCAAGTTTCAGAAGCACAGTTTTGGCTGCCTGAGTCACCATCAGTCTTCATTTGATCTGGACACAAGTTCACTAAGAGGGCTTTGTCTGTTGACAGAAGGTGTGAATGAAAACCTTGCTAAACAGAATCGGGATTTTCCAAGCAGCTGAGGACAGTTCATATAGTTGTGGTGGTATCTCTAGAGTATGTTGTCCAGAAACAATAGCTTCAGAGCAACCTTTTGTTGCTAGTTCAGATAACAACAGTCCACTGCCCTGGCAGGTACCTCAGCTGGTTGGAGCAGCAGTTGCCAACATGGTACACAGACACTGGTGGTCCATGATCTGAAAGGTTGGCGACCGCTGGGTCAGAGCATTGTCCTAACATTAGGAAGAAACTGGCTTTTCATTCTAAGATTATAAAGGCAACTTTGGTACTTTTTCTGTTCCACTTAACTATTTATTGAGCACTTGCTCTAGCACCTAGCAATCTCAAAAACACACTGCCCCAGTGACTCCAAGAGTTACACTGAGAATAAGTAGTATCCAGCTCTTATATGAAGTGTTTATATTAATTTTAATATAATGCCCGTTTATGTGTATGTTTGTTTTTAAGTATAAAAGCTAAGTTTAAAATGAAATCTATCCATGCCCTGGCCAGGTAGGTCAGTTGGTTATTAGCACATCGTCCCAATATACCAAGGTTGTAGGTTCGATCACTAGTCACAGGGCACATACAGAATCAACCAATGAATGAATGCATGAGTTGGACAACAAATCCATGTTTATCTCTCTCCCTTCCTGCCTCCCAATCTCTCTCTCTCAAAAACCAATAAATAAAAACTGAAAGAAATAAAAACAAAATCTATCCCTAGATAGCAGCAATTAGAGATAATATTTTGAAATTAGAGGGCAGTGACCCATTAGGGGGAGATACTGCTTCAATGCATAGTTTATTGAACAGAATTTTGTTCTCATTAAAATTAAAGTTTTTTATTTTGGAAGGGAAGGGTCTAGTGTGTTTTAACAACAACTAGGGAAATATACTGGCTAGAGAATTATGCCACCAAAGTTCAAGTACATCTTTCCTCTTGATCTTGGTAACATTGTTAACACAGTTGCGTCTTGCTGATTTTGGCAAATACAATAAATTCGGGCAGCACTGGATTGTAAATTTCATAGCTTCTTCCCCTCCTCTTAAAAAGTGCCACCATGCCTACTTTTCCTTCAAGTAATTCTATTTTGAGGGTTTCATGGCAACTCTCAAAATGAAGGTATCTTACTGGTGATTGAAGATTTTTTCCAACAGACAATATTTCTGTTGTATGTTTATTTTGTAAAAATGGAATCATTCGGTAAGAGCCCTCAAAGGACACTGGCACCTGCCAGCTGTTCCACATTCAAGGCCAAAGACTCAGACTTCTGGTAGGACTGTGTTTCTTTTATTAAGGCAAAAGGGACAAGAGGTCAGTTTTAGTAACTGGTTCATGCTCAGCCTGCAGGAAGGAAAGGAACGAGCATGGGATTCTCATCTGAAATGGGGTTTCATTTCACCACACACTTCATCTGCTCTTGCACACAGCTGATGACATGAAAATCTCTGAGTTGCTAGCAGAACTGCAATTATTAACCCTCCCCTTTCTACTCACATCATGGTTGTCCTGGTGTAAATGCAAACTTTTGAATTAAGACGGACTTACAAAGACGTCTTTTAATCATCCTCTGTGATTTTTGCAGTTCTGTGGTAAAAATGTCAGAGATGAGGTCACCTCCTAAGAACCCCCTGCTTACAGACAGACTTGAGAGCATCACCCAGCCTTCCTTGCCATTCAACAGCTGGTGGCCATGAGCACCCTACCTGCCAAACAGAGAGGAACACACCCAGGCCTAAGTCAAGCTTTTCAGGTTGCCAGGATACAGCTGCAAGTCACTCTTAAAGTCCAGACACCAACCAGAAACAAATGTGGGCTTGTTAAAACGGAATCACAAGCCCTGGCCAGGTGTCTCAGTTGGTTAGGGCGTCATCCCCATACACCGAGGTTTATGCCAAGGCTGTGGATTTGATTCCTAGTCAGGGCACATACAAGAAACAACCAACAAATGCATAAATAAATGGAACAACAAAATTGATGTTTTGTTTTGTTTTTTTTCTCTCCTTTCCCCTCTGTCTCTAAAGTCAATTATAAAATACACAAAACTAATCATGAAGAGTCCAATGCAAAAAAGACATGTTGGCTACTTATTAAAATGCATTTTTATATGAGTAAAGCTTTGCCTCTTCTCTTCTCTATCCCCATGGAGAAAAAGTTTCCCTCATCTTAAAGACCAACTAAAATTGTTACTTCTTATACTGCTACTTGCCCACCATTCCTAAATTATACATTACATTCCTACACATGATTTGTTATAGTATGTGTTACCTCCTTAGTTAACTTTTAGCAACCTTAAGGAAATGTTAACATCGGGGTTATTTTTTAAAAGTACACTTACTGAATATTTAAAACCTCAGATTAGCCGAAACCGGTTTGCTCAGTGGATAGAGCGTTGGCCTGCGGGCTGAAAGGTCCCAGATTCAATTCCGGTCAAGGGCATGTACTTTGGTTGTGGGCACATCCTCAGTGGGGATGTGCAAGAGGCAGCTGATCGATGATTCTCTCTCATCGATGTTTCTAACTATCTCTCTCTCCTCCTCTCTGTAAAAAAAGCAATAAAATATATTAAAAAAATAAATAAATAAAATCTCAGGTTAATGATTAAAAAACATTACAATGATAAAAATATGTGTCTCAAAAATACTGAGTGATCTTTTCTTAATAATTATTATTTTTCAATCCTTACCCAAGGACATTTTTTTCTATTGTTTTTAGAGAGTGGAAGGGAGGAGGGGGGGGACAAAGAAAAACATCGAACCTGCAACCCAGGTACGCATCCTGGACAGGAAACCAAACCCAAGATCACGGCTGATGCTCTAACCACTGAACAAAGCCAGCAAGGACAATACTGAGTGATCTTTTAAGTCAATTTCAAATTATCCAAAAGTGTGATGGCCGAGTGCACAGCTTTACAACCCACTAAGAAAATAAAAAGGGGAATGTCACACAGGTCCTGTCCTGTATTATATATACTCTGTCTACATTTACATATCATGATCTAGTTGAGAGTCATAATTCAGGTAACAGCGAAACTCATTTGCCAAGGTCCGGGTGTGCTTTGGAATAAATTTGCACATCTTCACTCCAAGAAGTTTTGCTGCCTCTTCCTCCATGACAGCACCTGAAGAGAACAGACCAGATGAACCAGAAGACAAATACAACCATGCACCCTGGGCCCTGGCACAACGTGACAATACCACTCAGCAAATGAGGGTGGAGGTCAGTTCTTCATACTCCTCTTTACTTTTCCAACATTTTTTAAATTTACTTACTTCCTTTTCTTTCTCATTTAATAAATAATTTTCCTGTCTCTGCAAAGCTAAGACACTTCAAGTGTCTTAGAAATAGATTATAACCTACTAAGTAATATAAAGAAAGCAAAAATAAGTATTAAAAACTGGTGGTGGTGTAATATGGAAACCCACACATGAAACCTATCTGTTCATGTTAACCAATGTCACCACAACAAATTAATAAGTAAATAAATAAAAAACGCTGGTGTTGCCCTGGCTGAGTGGCTCAATCAATGTTTCTCATATTGATGTTTCTCTCTCCCTCTCTTTCCCCTTCTCCTTCTCCTCCCTTCCGCCTTCCCTCTCTCTAAAATCAATAAACACATATCCTTGGATGAGGATTTTAAAAAATACCAATTAAATAAAATATTGTAATGCCTTTAAAAAAAAATCTAGTATTTTCCACTTTAATCAAGAATCCCCTTTTCAGAACCCTTTTGCACTGCTGGTGCAGCCACTGTGGAAAACAGTATGGTGTTTCAAAAAATTAAAAATGGAATTGCCACTTGACCCAGTAATACCACTTCTAGGTATATATCCCAAGAAAACAGAAACACAAAGCACCCCTGTGTTCATATCAGCACAGTTCACCATAGCTAAGATCTGGAAACAGCATAAATGCCCATCAGCAGATGAGTGGATTAGAAAACTGTGGTACATCTACACAGTGGAATACTATGCTGCTGTAAAAAAGAAGGATTTTTTTTCCCCATTTGCAACAGCATGGATGGAGAGCATTATGCTAAGTGAAATAAGCCAGTCAGTGAAATATACATACCGCATGATTTGTGGAATATAAAGAACATTATAAACTATTGGACAAAAATAGATACAGAGGCAAAGAAGCATCAGACTGTCAAACTACAGCGGGAAGTTAGGGGAGAGTTGGGAGGAGGTAAGAGATCACCGAAGTCCTTGTGCGCATGCACTTAAGCATAACCAATGGAGGCAAGACTGGGGGTGGGGGTGAGGGCATGTGCCAGGGGGCAAGGGAGGTCAATGGGGGGAAATGGAGACATGCACTACTATTTATAATACTTTAAACGATACATTTCTTAAAAAGCATCCCCTTTTTAATAATATCTAATCTTCTAAATTCATAGGGATATATTCACACCAACCTTTGGATGACCAAACTGTTTCTTCCTCAGCCCCCCATCTTCACCCCACTGCCTGTCTTGCACTGCCCACTGATGTGGATATCACCCCAGATGCTGCCAAGCACCTGTCCCTTGATGCCTATGGTAGCAAGTGCTGTACAGATAGGAACCCAGGACTCATCCTGAGTTCCCTTTCTCACTTCCCACATGCAGAGCACAGCACATTTTTTCAATTTCCTCTCCAACCTCATCCAGAGCTACATCCACTCACCCCATAAATCTTTTTGGTATAAAGTTAAAGTAAACTTTTTTAGGCAAACTGGATCTTGTTGCTTTGGGGGTGGACACCGTAAAAGAAAATGCCAGCTCTGACTAGCACTGTCTGGGCCCTCATTGACTCCCCTTGAGGCCACTGCTGCAATGTTGCTCAGCCCAGAGAACCTGTGGGTCTGAAGTACAGCCCCCTGACTCTGCCAGCATGTCTTTCTCTGATTTTTTTCATATACTTATCAAAATTAGGAATTCATTTCTTCTGTTGTATTACATTTTTTAATCTGTCCCCTAAAACCAAAAGTATGCTACATGAGGTCAGACAATCTGCGTGTCAGCTAGCACAAAGGGCTAGTCACAGCTATCCTAATACATAACCCAGGGGCCATCACAGCCTAAATGACTGATGACTGAGCAGCAGGCTGCCGGCAGGAGGAGCCCCCGCCGAGCCCCCGCCTGGACACAGCAGCAGTGAGGGGGAGCTAGAGGGTCATGTTATTTGCATAAAGCTCTGAAAGCTGTGCAAGTGTGATGACCTCCATTGATTCAACAGATAATGCTGAAAAGGAAAAATTTCCCATTGAATTTCTTAAGAGTATTACTCCTTCAGGAATGCCATGTCATAAGTTAAAAGTGAAAGTGTGTGCAATCATCATGCTACTGAGAAATCTTAATAGTAAATGGGGTCTTTGTAATGATACTGGATTTATTATCAAAAGATTGCGACCTAACATAATCGAAGCTGAAGTATTAACAAGATCTGCAGGAGAGGTTGTTCTGATTCCAAGAATTGATTTGTCCCCCTCTGACACTGGCCTCCTATTTAAATTAATTCGAAGACAGTTTCCCATGATGCCAGCATTTGCAATGACTATTAATAAGTCACGAGGACAAACTTTAGACAGGGTAGAAATATTCCTACCTGAACCCATTTTCACACATGGTCAGTTATATGTTACTTTCTCTTGAGTTCAAAGAGCGTGTGATGTTAAAGTTGTAAATACTTCATCATAAGGGAAATTAGTCAAGCATTCCAAAAGTGTTTTCACTTAATGTGGTATATAGGGAGATATTAGAATAAGTTTAATCTGTCAGTCATTGTATCAGTGTTATTTTTACATCATGTATTTGTTGTTTTTATATCATGTCTTTGCTGTTGTTATTTCATGTGAATATTAATAAATTTATATAGTATTTTCATATACATTTTACTAATTTTCTTTCATCTTTGACACTTCTATTATAGAGAATGGGCAAATAGCAATATTAAAATATTTCCTCTAATTCCCACTAGTGAATTAATAAGTAAATACTAGTTGTGTGAACAAAGGCTGTGTTTTTGACTAAGTCTGCAACGTGACAACCAGAAGAACAGCTCCACTGCTCAGCCCAGGGAGATCCGGACACCAGGCTGCCCAGACCAGAGAGGTGGTTATAGTTTTAGTTCTGTGTCAGATTTCAGTACATCCATCTTAAGAAAACAGTGTATCTCAATCTCCCCAGAAAGAACACTGTTCTCCTATAACAAACCTGATCCAATGCCTAACTTGTAACCCCAGGCAATGCACGTTAACTCCACAGATTCGACATCAAGTGCAGAGGCTGTTAATACTGATGCTGACCATGAGGAATACGCTCACCACACGTGACCCCACTCAGTGAGTGTCAGGCGCTCAGTCTTCACAACACTGAAGTCAGCAGCATGGCCAGCCCATATTTACAGTGAGGAAGCGGGGCCACAGAGGGCTTACAGAGCCTGCTTATGGTCACACAACAAGCGGTAGATTTAGGATCTGAGATCTAAGATCTTTCAATTCTTGACACCTGAGGCTTGAATAGCCACCATTATCAACCTTTATGAGATGGCAGCCCAGCACCTACCTGTGCACAGCAGAATCTTGCCCTGAGTCAGGTACTTGATGGTTTCTGACGTTTTCCTGAGACATTCCTCAGAAAGATAGGGAGGATCCGCTATGACAATGTCAAAACTATGAGGGGCAATATTTACAGGGAAGTCCAATGGATTATTGTAATCATAGAAGATAAACTCCTCTCCATAAATGGAAAATCTTCTGTCATACTCAAAGAGGTGTACTGCCAAGTCTTCTCTGTGCAGCTCTCTCAGTTTCAGGTAAACACTAGGGGTGCTCACACAGGCTACCCTGGAAAACAAAGTGAATATGTGCACAGAGCTCTGATAGACAGCTTCTAACGTTAGCCAACTCACTAAACACCAGGGTTCCAAGCACAGACCTTCCTAGAGGAAATAACACTGCAACTAACATGACAGCAGTAAATTGTGAGAGAAAACAAAATGCCTCACTTTTAAGGAATCTGGTATTTAAAAATCTGAAACTCATACAAAAGTGATACATGTGTTCTTTATAATAAAAATTGTAAAACATAAAAAATCAATAAAATATATTAAAAAAAATAAAGTAAAATTCTAAAAAAAAAGAAATGTAAAACATTAGGAACATATAAAGACAAAATTAGGTATCCCGAAGCCTAAATTTACCTATTATTTCATATTCCTTTAACATTATGTCAAATACTGTTAATCTCAAACTAAATATTTTGAAGTTACTTTGAAATGTTCATAATCTTGAGAAGAAAACTCCAAATAACTGCTTTAGTAACTCCAGTTTTCTAAAAAGATACATTAAAATGAGTCTCAGTGCAGAAAAGCTACTTTAAATTTCTGCAGCTTATATATATATATATTAATATATATATATAAAACTTTTTTTATTGATTTTAGAGAGGAAGGGAGAGGGAGATAGAAATATCAATGATGAGCCGGGACCGGTTTGACTCAGTGGATAAAGCGTCGGCCTGCGGACTGACAGGTCCCAGGTTCGATTCTGGTCAAGGGCATGTACCTTGGCTGCGGGCACATCCCCAGTGGGGGGTGTGCAAGAGGCAGCTGGTCAATGATTCTCTCTCATCGATGTTTCTAACTCTCTATCCCTCTCTCTTCCTCTCTGTGAAAAATCAATAAAATATATTTTTTTAAAAAAAGAAAAAGAAGAAATATCAATGATGAGAACCATTGATAGGCTGCCTCCTGCACGCCCCCTTCTGGGGATCAAGCCTGCAACCCAGGCATGTGCCCTGACTGGAATCAAACCCAGGACTTCAGTCTGCAGGCTGATGCTCTATCTACTGAGCTAAACCAGCTAGGGCTCTGCTGCTTTTTTGTATAAGGAAATTATTATTAGCAGCCTACAGTTTTTGAACAAGTAAGCACTATTCCAACAGTTAACTCTTTTTGTTAATCTTCACTCAGGGATATTTTTCCATTGATGTTTAGAGAGAGTAGAAAGGGAAGGAATGAAGAGAAGACAGAGAGGGAGGGAGGGAGGGAAGGAGAGAGAAGAGAGAGACATTGACTGGTTGCCTCGCTCCAACTGAGGATTGAACTTACTACCCAGGTATGTGCCCTTGACCAGGAATCGAACCCGAGACTCTTTGGTGCATAGGTTGACACTCTTAACTACTGAGCACACCAGCCAGGGCCCAATAGTTAACTTAAAACTAACTGTGAAAGAAGCTAGAAATAAATGCTGAACTATTGAGTTGATTGTGGTCCATCTGTTATAATGGAATATTATGTAATATCACACCCCAAGACACTCCAGGAACACAAGGGGCAAAAAGACATTTGCATGAGTGAGAAAATATGCTCAGAGGCACAAGAACCAGAGACCATGGCTGCCTCACAAGAGAACTGGAGGCCTGGAGATAAGGAGGCTGACATAACTTTTAGGTATTTACCATGCATATATATTATCATTCAAAACAGTACTTTTGAATATTAAACTCAGTCTTAAACCTGGAGATTCATTTCTGTACACGTGCACATTAGGCACCCAAGCTAGCTAAATAGGCTGCTTGGCCCAAATACACTTGAAGTATGTAACAGCCTGATGATGGCATATATGCGTCTGTGGAAAATGTGCATGTCCCAGTCTGGGTGTCGGGCAATCAGAGCCTCAGCCCAGTTTGGGGGGAAGGAGGGAAAGTGAAGGTATAGAGCCAGTATGTCTTCATTGTGCTGGGATGGATAACAAGCAGCATTCAGATGCACAATGAACTATCACCCAAGAAAGAGGGTGAAATAAAGGTAGTTTCAGACCAACTAAATCTGAGCTTGTTGCCAGCAGAATTTCTCTAAAATGTTCTGAAGGATGTACACAGGCAGCAGAAAAGTGTCTCAGATGCAAGAAGGAGGGAGTAGAGTGTGGTGAACTCAGGGGGTCAATGGGGTTTGTCATGGAGTGGTGGGGTCCTAGGGCAAATCACTCCTGAGTTCCTTTGTGCAAGTGGCTGAATCTCTTGAGCCTCAGCTCTGTCTTTAGAATAGAGAATATAACAGTAACTACCTCACAGGGGTATTAGAACTAAACAAGGTGACCATCATAAACTGCTGACACAGAGAACAGGACGGGCAGCAATTCTTGCCCTAGCTGGTTTGGCTCAGTGGATTAAAGGGCTCCAGGTTCAATTCCAGTCAAGGGCACATGCCTGGGTTGCGGGCTTGATCCCCAATTGGGAGGGGCGTGGGGGGTGGTGTATAGGAGGCAGCAGATCAATGATTCTCTCTTATCATTGGTGTTCTATCTCTCCCTCTCCCTTTCTCTCTGAAATCAATAAAAATTTATTTTAAAAGAAAAGATTATGACACAGCTCCTGAAGATGCCTATCAGAAAAAAATTAAAAGTTGCAACCCAAACCCTCATATTAATGGAAAAAAGAAAAAAAAATGTATAAAAAACAGTGTAATTAAGAAAAACCTAATAAAAAAAACTACATATAATTTAGAAAGAAAACAGAAAAAAAAAAGAAAAAAAAAGAAAAAGAAAAGAAACTTGGGATTCTAGTTAAAGATGGTGGATGGGAATGTAGATTTGCCCTCATGAAGTCCACTCACTGCACCACAGTAAGGTTCTATTTTGTTGTTAAAGCCAAGAAGAGAAAGAGAATGTAAGAAGAGACAAAAGAAACACACATAAAAAGCTGGAAAACAATGGAAAGTGGTATCTGACTTGACAGGCCCAAACACCAAATCCTGCACTGGCAGCCAGGAAAGCTGGGGAGCAGCCATATCTCCATCACCACCCCCCCCAGGCTCAGGGTCTGCAGGTCCGTAACTCGGGACGCGGCTGAAGGTCCATGTAGGCAGACAGTAATTCCCGAGACTCTCCTCCTCCCAGGAGACAGAAACCTGGAAGGAAGGTCTCTGGATTAGGGGAGAAAAATGGAATGCCAGCACAACTAGTAATGTGGTACTGTGTGGAATGACAAGGATTAAGTTAAACCCACTGGATGCTAGGACCTTCAGTCTTCTCAGTAATGTGGTCCTTCAGACGATGTCCCAGCACACATAACTTCCACAGGGAAGAATTAGAAGACTCTTCCTAGAGCTCTGACCAGCTCCAGAGGAAAAGACTTGGACAAAACAACACTGGGGTTTCCAAGGAATAGCTCACCCACGTCACCCAACTGCAGAGACCAAGCAAATAAGTTTTGCCATGTACCACAGCTTTCTGACATAATCTAAGTGGATAGAGAAGGTCAATGGACATTCAAGGAAAACATTTAATATTAGAGACCAAAATAAATGAACAGAAAAGGCACGATGTAATAAGCAGATTAAATGGGGAGAAGAAAACTTTTTTTTTAAATCCTGTAATTAATATCCTCAGAAGGATAACAAGATACAATAATAAATATTCAGCACAATTAATGAATGCAATAGTAAGTGGAACAGTAAATTGATGTTTCCCTTTTCCCCCTTCCCCTCTTTCTAAAAATCAATCAAAAAATAAATAAATGTATATTCAGAGATCTCAAAAGAGAGCTGTAGATGAATATGTACACTAAGTGGCCAGATTATTATGATCTCTGAACACATAATAATCTGGCCACTCAGTGTGTGTGTGGGTGTGTGTGTGTGTATGTATGTGTGTATATATATTAGAGGCCTGGTGCATGAATTCATGCACGGGTGGGGTCTGGCTAGCCTGGCTAGGGGAAGGGGATATGGGTGGTTGGCCGGCCTTCCTGCTGACTGAACTCCTAGTTGAGGGGACATTTGCATATTAGCCTTTTATTATATAGGATATACCCTGAGTGGCCAGTATTATGTGTTTAGAGGTCATAATAATCTGGCCACTCAGTGTATATGACAACAGAAAAGGTAAATTCAGCAGAATGTTTAGGAAATAAAGTTGAGGAATATTCCCAGAAAGTAAGGTAAGGTCCAACATTCAAATAACAGGAGTTCCAGAAAGAGGAATAGAAAAAACAGTGGGAGAGGAAATGGGCTTAAGACAGTTTTCCCAAACTGAAGGAAATGAGATTGAAAGAGCTCCCATCCAGCACAAGAGGGGAACACTCTATGCCAGGACACATCACATATTAGGAATTGAAAAAAGAACCCAAGTTTGCACTGAGCAAGGAAAAAACAGGTTTCCTTCAAGAACTTAGAACAGCATGGGATTTCTCAACAACACCTGTGGATACTTGGAGGCCATGAAGCAATGTCCTCAAAACCTGGAATTATATACCCAGCAAAACTATTTCAATTGAGAATAAGAATGGAATAAAGGCATTTTCAGAAATGAAAGGTTTTTAAAATTCCCTTCCCACATATCTTTTCTGTGGAAGCTATTGAAGGATGGACACAACCCAGATTGAGGCTGAAAAATGAGAACTGGGTACAGGAAACTGGAATCCAAAATAAAGGAAAGGAAAAGGGACTATGAGTATGATGGTGAAGAAAGAAACCAAGAAAAGAGCTGCAGCAAAGCTGGAAATCAGCCAGTCAGCTTGGTAAAGACCTGAGGTAATTTTTTTCAAGGAGTTGAAATAATTTTGCATTATAGATAGGAGATATGGGGAAGAATTTGATGGTTAGCAGTGACATGGACATAGAAAGACATAAAAAATAGGAAACTTATAATTTTACAATAAGAAAAAAGTAAAAGGTTCAGCTGAAAGAACATTATGTTTCATAACAATATTAACCCTATTATAACCCAAATCTGGAAATAAATAAAAAATACAGCCCAAATATTGGGAGCATGGTCAGAAAGCATGCACATCTGTGGAAGTGATAAAGTCTGAACCAGCTTTTTCAGACCAATTGATGATAAATTACATGCATGTAAAGTTTTGTGGATTTTTATCCTCACCTGAGTATGTTTAATGATTTAGAGAGAGGGCAGGGAGAGTGCAAGAGAAAAAGAAACATCAATGTGAAAGAGAAACATCAATTTGTTGGCTCCTGTATGTGCCCTGACCAGGAATGGAACCCACAACCTTTAGGTATATGGGACAATGCTCTAACCAAATGAGCCACTGGGTCAAGGCTTGATAAAAATAAAAACCAAGTTAAAGAAAAAGAAAACCTACATTCTTAAAATTTTAAAAAATCAAGTATTAAGATTTTTTTTTTCTCTTAAAGCAAACTGTAAGGGTATAAAATTAAGGAGCAGGTTAGCAAATACTAAAAGGACAGAGATAAGAAGTCATACAATGAATACATTTCTGGGTGCCCCTAAACTTATTATAGCAGTTCTTATTCCTCATATTCTACATATCATGAACTACAAATTTTGAAGATTATGAACCAGACTTCTTACAAATCATCTCATTGAAGAAGGACATTGAAAATATCAATTTAGATTAAAACAAAAGAGAAACAAAATTTGAAGCTCACCTTCCACCTTCCCCAGCAGCTGCAGTCACTTCCTTAGCAAGATGCAAAGCAGTTTCCTGACTGTACCAAAACTGGCTCAATTGCTGTAGCAGAAGGGCAAGTTCAGATAATTTTAGAATTAGCATAAATTTGGTTCCTTAAATTTAAACCTGTGCATATACTTAATATTTTCATTTTTCATCTTAAAACCACTTTTTTTGTAAATGGTAGTACAGATGACTCCCTTTTTTCCCCATTGATCTGCCCCTGGCTTCCCCTACCTCCTATACCCAGTGTATTGTGTCCATTGGTTATGCTAACATGCATGCATACAAGTCCTTTGGTTGATTTTATTTTTTATTTATTTATTTTTTAAATATATTTTATTGATTTTGTACAGAGAAGAAGGGAGAGAGATAGAGAGTTAGAAACATCGATGAGAGAGAGTCATCGATCAGCTGCCTCTTGCACACCCCCTACTGGGGATATGCCCGCAACCAAGGTACATGCCCTTAACCGGAATCGAACCCGGGACCCTTCAGTCCCCAAGCCAACGCTCTATCCATTGAGCCAAACCGGTCTCGGCACTTTGGTTGATTTTAAATTAATAGACAAATAGGGATCCAAGATGGCAGGGAGTAGGTAGAAGCTAGACTCAAGTCCTCCTAGGACCACACTGGAATTACAATTAAATTATAAAATAACCAACCTGGATAACAAATTGAAGACTAGCTGAAGAGAAGTCTTATAACCAAAGATTATAGAAGAGTCGGATCAAGACTGGTAAGAAGGGCAGAGACACAAAAAGGGCTGGCCCCTACCACATGCATCCAGTCCCAGACAGGCAGCCATTACCTGTGGATTGCTTTGTAGCTCCTAACAGGCACCTCAGGTCACAGGCAGCATCTGACATTGACCTGCACATGAGTCTCTCCCAAAAGGCCCCAGAACCAACATACCCTGGAAGCTGGCTTCAAACCATCAAAGAGTACCACCTGATTAGTTCCACAAAAGGCACATCCAAAGGAAGATCTTGGCAACTACCAGACCCTACTGGGGCAAATTCTGCTCATATACTGTGATCAGGGTCAATCCTCACAGACAGACAGCCTGAGGGTCAACCCCACCCACAGACAGGCCAACAGTAATCAAGGCTCACTGCAAGACTCGCTTAAATAACCCAGGCAAAGGACACCTGTGGAGGACCCAGCTCAGGTGATCAGGGAGACTGCACCACTGGGCCCCACAGGATACCTAATATATAAGGCTATTTTACCAAGACTGGCAGACAAAGTAGATCTACCTAATATACAAGCCCCACTCCACCACACATTGGCAGCTAAAATGGGGAGGCAAAGAAGCAGGCCTCAAATAAGAAAAAAAACAGGAGAAATCTCAAAAAAAAAGAACTAAATGAAATAGAGACAAGCGATCTATCAGACAAAGAGCTCAAGACAATGGTTATAAGGATGCTCAAGGAACTTAGAGGAAGAATGGATGAACTCAGTAGTGAGAACTTCAACAAAGAGATAATAAGCATAGAAAGTGACATAGAAACCACAAAAAAGAACCAGTCAGAAATGAAGACTACAATATCTAAAATTAAAACTATACTAGTAACAAAACAATAAGAAATCACACTGTATGGGAGAACATGTTTGCAAATGTTATCACTGATAAAGGTTTAATCTCCAACATCTACAGGCAGCTTATACAACTTAATAAAAGGAAGATAAATGATCCAATAAAGAAATGGGCAACAGACATAAATAGAATCTTTTCAAAAGAAGACGGAAGGCCAAGAGACATATGAAAACATGCTCAACGTCACTAATTATCTGAGAGATGAAAATCAAAATGACAATGCGTTATTATCTCACACCTGTCAGAATGGCTATCATCAACAAATCAAAACAAGTGTTGGCAAGGATGTGGAGAAAAAGGAACACTCATGCACTGCTGATGGGAATGTAGACTGCTACAGCTACTGTGGAGAACAGTATGGAGCTTCCTCAAAAAACTGAAAATGGAACTCCCATTTGACCCAGTAATCTCACTCCTAGGCATATATCCTAAGAAACTGGAAACACCAATCAGAAAGTATATATGCACCCCTATGTTCATAGCAGCACAATTTACAATAGCTAAGATTTGGAAACAGCCTAGGTGCCAGTCAGCAGATGACTGGATCAGAAAACTATGGTACATCTACATTATGGAATACTATGCTGCCATAAAAAAGAAGGAATTCTTACCATTTGCAGCAACCTGAATGGAAGTGGAGAATATTATGCTAAGTGAAATAAGCCAGTCAATGAAAGAAAAATACCACATGATCTCACTCATTTATGGATAATAAAGAAAATTATAGCCAAGACCGGTTTGGCTCAGTGGATAGAGTGTCAGCCTGTGGACTGAAGGATCCTGGGTTTGATTCCAATCAAGAGTATGTACATTGTTTGCGGGCACACCCTAGTGGGGGATGTGCAAGAGGCAGCTGGTCGATGTTTCTCTATCATCGATGTTTCTAGCTCTCTATCCTTCTCCCTTCCTCTCTGTAAAAAATCAATAAAATATATTTTTTTAAAAAAAGAAAGTTAACAAGAAAATTATAAATTGTTGAACAAAAAGATAGATACAGAGACAGTAAAGCATCAAACAGAATGCCAAATTACAGTGGGAAGGTTAGAGAGGGTGGGGGAGATACAAGATCAACTGAAGGACTTGTATGCATGCATATAAGCATAACCAATGGACGCAAAACTCTGGGGGGTGAGGGCATGTATGGAAGTGGGGTGGGGGAGGGAATGGTAAGATATGTACACATATAATACCTTAATAAAAAATGAAGAAAAAAAACTACACTAGAAGGAATCAAGAAGGAATAAACAGATTGATGAAGCAGATCGAATCAACAATTCACAAGGCAAGGTAGCATAAAATACCCAATCGAAGCAGCAAAAATAAAAACAATTTTTTTAGTGATTGGGCAGCTCATTATGAACATGCCATGGTTTTCTCCTTTCCCTCACCCCATCCTAAAAGACCTAAGTGAAAGGTTTCCTGCTCTGGAAGGACCCCCTTAACCTTGCAATCATTTTGTCCTTATTCTTTTCCTTTTCTGTAGCATTGTATTCTATTTTAAGAACCTGCATTATGTTATGTTGCATAACAGTTTCCTTTTCCCACCAGATGGTAAAAGCCTGTAGTCAGGGATCATTCTATGCATATTGACAACCCCAGATCCCAGTAGAGGACCTAATGTATAATAATAATAAAATAAACATTTGTGGAGTAAAATTTTTAAAAATGAGGATAATTTAATGGACTTCTGGGACAACATCAAGTATAACATCATCCACATTATAGAGACAGGCACCAGAAGGAGAAGAGAGAGAACATGGGATTGAGAACCCATTTGAAGAAATAATGACTGAAAACTTCCCTAACCTGGTGAAGGAAAAAGACACAAGACCAGGAAGTACAGAGCGTTTCAAACAAGATAAACCTCAAGAGGCCCAAGACGCATCATAATTAAAATGCCAAAAGTTAAAGACAGGAGAGGGCAATAAGAGAGAAGCAAAGGGAGCTCCCATAAAACTGTCAGCTGATGTCAGAATGCTGCAAGCCAGAACGGGTTGGTAAGAAATACAAAGTGATGGAAAGCAAAGATCTATAAACAAGACTATTCTACTCATCATGGTTGTCATTTAACATTGAAGGAAAATAGCCCTGGCTGATTTTCTTTAGTGGTTAGAGTGTTGATCCATGAACTGAAGGGTCATAGGTTCGATTCCCAGTCAAGAGCATGTACCTGAGTTACAGGTTTGATCCCACCCAGTTAGAGTGTGTGTGGGAGGCAACCAATCGAAGAGTCTTTCTCACATCAATGTCTGTCTCTCCTTCCTTCTCTTCCTCTTCCCTCCCTCCTTATCTCCCTCCCTCCTTTTCAATCTCTCTAAAAAAATCAATGGGAAAAATATCCTAGGGTAAGAATTCACAACAACAACAAAAGGAAATTTTTTAAAGTAATAAAATAAAATTGAAAGATAATAAAGAGCCTTCCAGACCCCCTAAACAAACAAACAAACAAAAACTAAAGGAATTTATTACTTCCAAACCAGTATTATAAGAAATGTTAAAGTGACTGCTTTAAGAAGAAAAAAAGAGGAACATAAATATATATAAAAAATGGCAATAAATACATCCTTAAAAAGAATCACTTAAAATGTAAATGGCTTAAATGCTTCTATCACAAGACATAGTGTATCTAACTGGATATGAAAACAAGACTCATTTATGTGCTATCTATGAGAGATCCACTTCAGATCAAAAGACACACACAGACTGAAAGTAAAGGGATGAAAAAGATATTTCATGAAAATAGGAACAAACAAACAAAAAGGATAGCAATACTTCTATCAGACAAAACAGACTTTAAAACAAAGGCCAAAATAAGAAACAAATGCACCCAATGAAGAAGCATCTAAAGTCATATATCAAATCTTGGCAGACATAAAGGGAAAGATCAACAGTAATGGTCAAAGTAGGGGATTTTAACACCTCAGTGATATAAATGGATAGATCTTTTAGACAGAAAATCAATAAGGAAACGGCTGTATTAAAAACACAGGTCAGATTAATTGATATATGTAGAGAATTTCACCCCAAATTGACAAAATATACATTATTTTAAAGTGCACATGGAGCCTGACTGCGGTGGCTCAGCGGTTGAGCATCAATCCATAAATCAAGAGGTTATTTATTGGTCAGGGCCCGTGGGTTTCGGGTTCCATCCCAGTAGGTGACATGTAGGAAGCAGCCAATCAATGTTTCTCTTTATGCCTCTCCTGGCCCCTCTCTTTAAAATCAATAAAAACATATTTTTTAAATAAATAAAGTGCAGAAGGAACCAAGATGACAGCATAAGGTAAACACCTAAATGTAGCCTTCCACAACAAATTTAAAATTACAACTGGGAAACAGAGCAAACATCGTCCAGAATCACAAGAAAGCTGGCTGAGTGGAACCTCTACCAACTAGAAAAAAAGAGAAAGGATGCTGAGCCTCTGGAACTATGGAGGTGCGGAGATCCGTGCGTGCGGACAGAGCGGGTGGCTAAATACGCTGCTGGCTTACTCGCGGTGCACACGGAGAGGGCGGGCAGCTACGCGGCTAGCTTGTTCAGGAGGAAAACAAAACCTCCCTACTACACAGATATCCAGCTCTGGTCAGGAAGAAATTGGACTGTCGGGCAGCGGGCAAAACTCTCTCAGAGGTGTGCACGGCCAGCAGCCATTGCTGCGGGACTCTGCTAATAGGACCTCTTAGGGAGGAACTGACAGGAAACCAAAGCTTGTCTGCACCATCCTGAGACTCCTCCCCATCCAAGCTGAGCACAGAAGCCCTCCAAGTTGCTAGCTTTCTCATTCAGGAGAAAAACAAAACTCCCAAACTGCACTGATATCTAGCTCCAGTCAGGGAGAAACTGACTGTCAGGCAGTGGGCAAAACTCAAGAGCAACTTCTCTCAAGAGGTGCACGCGGCCAGCAGCTATTGCCCCAGGACTCGGAGTACAGGGCCCTCATAGGTGGGGCTGACGGGAAACCAAAGCTTGGCTTGCGCCAACCTGAGACTCCGCCCCATCCAAGCTGAGCACAGAAGCCCTCCTAGCTGAGACACTGCTGATCCTCACAGCCAACTGGCTTGGAGATCAACTCTCCCCAGTGATAACAACAAGCAAGTCTTAACAACAAGACTGCACACACAGCCCACAAAGGGCTGCACCAAGACTGCCCACCTCAGGTAACTGGGGAGGCTGAGCTACTGGGCCATAGAGGAAACCTAGCACACAAAGCAATTCCATCAACTCAGGGAAGCAGCTAAAATGCAGAGACAAAGAGGCAGGCCACAAATGAAGGAAATGGAGGAAAGCAAAAGAATGGATATAGAGTTCAAAACCACAGTTATAAGCTTTTTCAAGAATTTTCCAGAAAAGGCCGATAAATTAAATGAGATCTTTGAGGATATGAAAAGGGATCAACTAGAAATTAAACATACACTGACTGAAATAAAAAATATTATACAGAGACCTAAAAACAGACTAGAGGATTGCAGAAATCAAGTCAAAGGTTTGAAATACTGAGAAGCAAAAAACACTGCTCCGGAAAAGCAAAAAGCAAATAGAACACAAAAAGTTGAAGACAGTGTAGAAGCCTCTGGGACAACTTCAAGTGTACCAACATCAGAATTATGGGGGTCTCAGAAGAAGAGAGAGAGCAAGATACTGAAAACCCATTTGAAGAAATAGTGACAGAAAACTTCCCCAACCTGGTGAAAGAAATAGACTTACAAGTCCAGGAAGTGCACAGAACCCCAAACAAGAAGAATCCAAAGAGGACCACACCAAGACACATCATAATTAAAATGCCAAGGTCAAAAGACAAAGAGAGAATATTAAAAGCAGCAAGAAAAAAGCAGTTATTTACCTATAAGGGAACACCCATACAACTGTCAGCTGATTTCTCAACAGAAACTACGCAGGGCAGATGGGAATGGCAAGAAATATTCAAAGTGATGAATAGCAAAAACCTACAATCAAGATTACTCTACCCAGCAAAGCTATCATTCAGAATTGAAGGTCAGATAAAGAGCTCCACAAATAAAATAAAAAAAGATAAAGGAGTTCATCACCGCCAAACCAGAATTATATGAAATGCTAAAAAGTATTCTTTAAGAAGAGGAAGAAGAAGATAAAGATAAAAATTATGAACAACAAATATGTAACTATCAACAAGTGAATCTAAAAACCAAGGGAATTAAAAAATCTGATGAACAGTATTAACAGGTGAATATAATAGGATCAGAGGTATAGAAAGGGAATGTACTGACGATTCTTGGGAAAAAGGCACCTGGGGGGTACGGGAAGAGACTGAACAAAAATCATACACCTATGGATGGGGACAGTGGTGGGGGAGGGAGGGAGGGAAAGGGCAGAGGGTAGGGTAGGAACCTGATGGAGGGGAGCTATGAAGGGAAAAAGAGGAACTATTGTAATAATCTGAACAATAAAGATTGATTAAATAAAAAAAAATTAAAAATAAATAAAGTGTACATGGAACATTTCCCTAAATAGACTATATGTTAGGTAACAGAACAAGTCTCAATAAACTTAAGAGACAGAAATCATATCAAACATCTCCAAACACAATGGTATGAAACTAGAAATGAATTACATAAAAAACACACAAACAGAGGGAGGCTATACAATGTAATTAAACAATGACTTGGTTAACGATGAGATTAAGAAATCAGAAGATAAATTGAGATAAATGAAAATGAAAACAGTGCATGCATTCTCCAAAAAATTCAAGAGGAAGGAAGGTTCCCAAGCTCGTTTTATGAGGTTAGCATTATCCTAATTCCAAAACCATATTAAGACACTACAAAGAAAGAAAATTATAGGCTAATAACTCTGATGATCATAGATGCAAAAATCCTCAACAAAATATTAGGCAGCCAAATTCAGCAATATATTAAAAACATTAGCTGGCCAGTGTTACTCAGTGGCTGATGGTTGATTTATGAACCAGGAGAACACAGTCGATTTTTTATCAGGGCACATACCTGGGTTGTGGGTTTGATCCCCACTAGGGGGCATGCAGGAGGCAACCAATCAATGATTCTCTCTCATCATTGATGTTTCCATCTCTTTCTCCCTAAAAATCAATAAAAATACTTATTTTTAAAAAATCTTACATCATGATCAAGTGAGATTTATTCCTGGGTTCAATATCATAAATCACTGTGATACACTACATAAACAAAAATGAAGGATAAAAATCATATGATTATATTAATAGATGCAGAAAAAGCATTTGACAAAAATCTAGCACCCATTTATGATAAAAATCCTCAACAAAGCAGAAATAGAAGGAACATAACTCAACATAATAAAGGCCATATATGACAAACCCACAGGTAATATCATGCTCAATGGGGGGAAAAGTAAAAGCATTTTCCTAAAGATAAGAAGCAAGACAGAAATGTCCTCTTTTAACACTTTTTTTTTATTGTTTAAAGTATTACATAGTCTCCTTTTCTCCCATTTGACCCCCCCCCCCAGCCTCTCCCACCCCATTTTACCACTCTTAATTCAACACAGTAATAAAGTCCTACCCACAGCAATCAGACAAGAAGACGACAAAAAGACATCCTAATTGGAAAGCAGGAAGTAAAACTCTCATTATTTCCAGATGGCATATTATTCTTTTATTAGATAAGACTAGAGGCCCAGTGCATGAAATTTGTGCACTGGGGAGGGTGTCCCTGAATCCTGCCTGCATCCTCTCCAATATGGGACCCCTTGGGGGATGTCCAACTGCAGGTCCTTGTAGATGAGGCCTAAACCTGCAGTTGGACATCCCTCTCACAATATGGGACCACTGGCTCCTAACTGCTTACCTGCCTGCCTGATTCCTCCTAACCAGCCTGATTGCCCCCAACTACCCTCCCCTGCTGGCCTGATCACCCCCAAGGCTTTTATTAGTATAAATATGACCCTGCACAGAAAATTTTACTAACCCTGCTTTACAATAAGGGCTTGATGATTGAATCATTAGGACCAGACACCAAGATTTCCTTTCTTTGAATAGTGGTGGGAATAAATATCTTGTCTTTAAGTTGCCCTGAAATTAAAATGAGATAATGACTTAGAAAAGTATAAAAGCACCATATAAGGACAACTTTCTTTTTCATGTACCTACTGAAAAGATAATGAAGTGGTAAAATGAAAAACACTATATTTATTTTCCCCTTCCTTCCTTTACAGCTTTTATTTAAACTTTGAAATTTATAAAAATTTCACTCCAATTTTCATTTCTTTACACTCAATATTATTTTGTATTGGTTTCAGGTTTTATATTAGTTGAGCTTAGGTTAGAAGTTTCCCTCAACTCATTTTTTTTCTCTTTCCCTTCCTATTTGGACCATATAATTAAAATACACACAATGCACCAGAAATTAATAATATCTGAACTCCCTTTCATTAATTTTTCATTACATGTTTACGTTCAGTTACTACCATGATATTTTACCCTTTCTACAGGTTTGCTGAGCTCTCTCTAAAAAAATAAATAGAATGTACCTGCATACAGGAGTCACATCTTTGTGTTGAACATTACATGCTATTCCCCTGTCTGAAAAGTCCCATCCACTGATCATCAACAAACTTGAAAGTTTATAACCAAGAAAATCCACATTTATGCCATCTTAAAATATTCCTGGACATCTTTCTGTCCTAATTCCCCAAATAGGTTATCAGCTCTCGATTGACAGGTGACAAAGTTTTTGATATAAGGTGGGATATAGACAAACACCAAACTAGGTCCAGAACAGGTTCCTCACCAATATTTCCAATTATATATGGAATGCATTTACTCACCCAATTCTCTTCTATTCTCCCAACATTGTATTTGTCACCCCCACATTGATTCTTCTCAGCATAGAATTCCTGGAGAGCTGCTAAGGCATGGGAAGAAAGCTGGGGGACATCGTCATCTTCCAAGTCACTCATCTCACAAAGTGTCTATGACCTGCAGATAAAAAGTAAAAGTGCTTCTTCTCATCAAATAATAATTTAAAAATGTTTATCTCACAGCAAAGATACAAACAGAAAGTGATCTTTTTAAAAAGGGAAAACAAACCTATTTAAATGAGATCAAACATCTACAGAGGTTGTCCACTGAATTATAGTTTAACAAATGCACAGTTTTCCTTTAAAGGATTTCACTTTTTACAAATGAGATTTTCATAATCCCTTGCTGAAGGAAAATTATACCATTAAGTATTTAAAGATATTTTGCTATCTTCTGGTAGCCCAATGGCCATGTGCAAACATTTCATAATTATCCATGTAACATCTTTTAGTACTTGAAAGTCACTGTGAAGGTGACCTAGGGCTCTCTAGTGTTGTAGGATTGATCTTAAAAAAGAACTTGGAAGAGGCTTTCTCCCAGACAGGGGTGCTCTGGGGATCATTGTTCCTATGCTGGGAGCTCCCCTGTTGCAGAGCTGACTGGCAGGGGCCATATCCGTGTCTCCATCAGCCTGGCTCACACTCTTTGCCCTGAGACCCCAAGCCATCCACTTTGCAGCCCTTAGCAAGCTGTTTGCAGCGTTTTTCCACATGAATGGCCTATGCTGGCTCAGGCTTCAAACTCTGCTAAAATCTTTAATACAAACTACAGCTGGTGTCAGTGGGCCCAAAAATCTATCAATAAAAGCCCCAAAACTGGCACTAGCACCAGCCTGCCTTTCTTCACAGCTGGGCCTCGCCTGGGCATGTCAAGCACAATACAACTAGTAGCCATCTGCAGATCTCTCTGTAGTTCCTGCCTGGTGGCCCCAGGCTGACTGTGCATCTTCCTGGAGGCCCAATGCCATTGCACCTGTTGGACAGCTTCAGACCACACCAGATTACAACTCTACATTCCACAAGTGACTCACTCAAGGGCAGACTCAGTGAGCACCAAAGCCCCACTGAAGGAAGTCTTGCTCCATAGGGATTTATCCTGACAGCAGCAATGCCACTGTAGTCATAGCTGGTCCTCACAGCCAATTGGCCTGGAGGTCAATTCCTCCCAGTGACACCAACAGCCATTAAGGCTCAACTACATGACTGTGCACACAGGGTGCTTGGTGTCAGTGGGCCCATCTACAGTGCCCAGCTCAGTGCCTGGGGAGGCTGAGCCACTGGGCTCTATAGGACACCTAATACACAGGCCACTCTACCAATTCCAGAAGACAGAGCAGCTCTACTTAATATCTAAAAATGAGCAAAGGGCCAAAACCGGTTTGGCTCAGTGGTAGAGCGTCGGTCTGCAGGCTGAGGGGTCCCGGGTTCGATTCCGGTCAGGGACATGTACATTGGTTGCGGGTGCATCCCCGGTGGGGGGTGTGCAGAAGGCAGCTGGTCGATGTTTCTCTCTCATCGACGTTTCTAGCTCTCTGACCCTCTTTCCTCCTCTCTGTAAAAAATCAATAAAATATATATATTTAAAATAAATAAATAAAATAAAAAATAAAAATAAAAATGAGCAAAGGGAATCCACCAAAATCAAAGACAAACACATCATAAATGCAAAAAATGGGAGAAAGCAAACTACTGGATACAGAGTTCAACACCATTGTTATAACATAAAGTTACTCAAGGATCTTCATGAGAGCTTCAAGGGACTTAGTGAGACTTTCAAGGTTCTTAGTGAGAATTTCAAAGACATGAAAAAGGACCAATCAGGTATTAAGAATACACTAACTGAAATAAAGAAGAATTTACAAGGATTCAACAGTAGAGGATCTGAGAATGAAGTCAATCATTTGGAATATGAAGAAGCAAAAAACAACCAATTAGAAGAGCAAAAAAAAGGATAAAAAAATATGAAGATAGTGTAAGGAGCCTCTGGGACAACTTCAAGCAATCACAATTGCATTATTGGGTGCTAGAAGGAGAAGAGAGAGAGCAAGATACTGAAAACCTATTTGAAGAAATAATGAAAATATTTCCTTACCTGGTGAAAGAAATAGACTTACAGGTCCAGAAAGCACAGAGTCCCAACCAAGATGAACCCAAAGAGGCCCACACCAAAACACATCATAATTAAAATGCCAAGTGTTGCCGAAGCCGGTTTGGCTCAGTGGTAGAGCGTTGGTCTGAGGACTGAAAGGTCCCAGGTTCAATTCCAGTCAAGGGCATGTACATTGGTTGCGGGCACATCCTCGGTGGGGGGTGTGCAAGAGGCAGCTGATCGATGTTTCTCTCTCATCGACGTTTCTAGCTCTCTCTCTCCCTTCCTCTGTAAAAAAATCAATAAAATATATTTTAAAAATAAAAAATAAAAAACAAATAAAATGCCAAGTGTTAAAGACAAAGATGGACTCTTAAAAGCAGCAAAAGAAAAGCAGTTAGTTACCTGCATATGATTGTCAGCTGATTTCTCAACAGAAACTTTGCAGGCCAGAAGGGAGTGGCAAGAAATATTTAAAGTGATACACATCACTAAAGTTTAAATTAAATGAACTTTAAGTTTTAATGTGCTAATTTTTTTACTTGTCACATCTTTAGCATTAGTAAAATTCTAAGTAGATTTGTGAAACTGCTATGAAAGAGATTTTCATGTACAAAAGAGTTGAGAAGTGCTGTGTTATATTATTGAATTGACAGTGAGACTTATGTGGCACTCACAGAAGAATCAGGCACGATTTGTCCCTCAGGGGAATAATTGGCAAAGTCTTGAAAGATTTTGGTTATCATAACTAGGGAAGGTCCTTCTGGCATCTAGTGTGTCAGGGAAGCTGGTCAACTCCATACAATTGATAGGACAACCCTCCACAAAAAAGAACTAAGTGACCAGAAATGTCAACAGTGATAGGAGGTTAAAAAACTGCTCTACTATGATGATGTGGTGAATCTGCATTTAGAGCCATGGATCAGAGTAAAGAGCATGTGTGGATGGAGGATAAAAGTGAGGCCACAGGGGGTTTACTTTCACCTTGAGGGAGAAAATTGCAGAAGGAAAAGCATGAAGATGCTGGAACAGCATGGTAAAGTAATGGGCACAATCATGTACAGCCTAAATAGGGGTAAGGAGGATCCTAATGTGCTATATGGTCACTTTCTATTTCTTTACATAGCAGCTGACTAATGTGGTCTACAAAGAAATGTGTAAAATTCTTCAATTTCCATATATGATCTTTGCTTAAAGCAAGGCCCACTCTCCTATCCCCCGCTGCATAATTGTACAGGCACCCATCCTGGCCGGTTTGGTTCATTGGTTAGAGTGTCACCCACACACCAAAGGGTCGCAGAATGGATCTCAGATCAAGGGCAGGTACCTGGGCTGCAGGTTGGATCTGCCCTGCAGTAGGCAATCAATGGATGTGTCTCTCTCACATCAATGTTTCTCATTCTCTCAATCTCTCTCACTCTCTCTCCTCCCTCCTCCCACTCTCTAAAAATCATTGGAAAAAATATCCTCTGGGAAACAACCAAGATGGTGGCATAGTAAACACCTGTACTTGCTGCCTCTCACAACTACAGCAAAACTACAACTAAGAGAAAAAACAAATATCACCCAGAACCACCAGGGGAAACCTGGCTAAGTGGAAGTTCTACAACTAGTAGGAAAGAAAAAAGTGTATTGAGACTAGTAGGAGGTGTGGAGGTGTGGAGATGTGAAGGCAGGCGCGAAATGGGCTGGCAGCTTGGTGCGCTGTTGTCTTTATTGGGTAGGAGATACAAACTCCCAATTGCTCTGAACTCTAGTGCGGGGCGAGACTCTGGGGACCCAGACTCATATGGGGAGAAACTGGGCTGTCTGGTATTAAGCAGAAACATGAGGGTGGCTTTCTATCAGAGGTGCTCCCATTGATCATTGTTCCTGCACAGGACAATGGGACGCAGAGATGTGTGGACCTCTCTAGGGCCGGGCTGATTGGTAGCCATTGCTATTTGTTGTGCCCTGGTGATTCCTTGAGACCCCACCCCACCCAATTTACAACCCCACCCAAGCTGTGTAAGGCAACTTTTGCATATGAATGGCCTGTCCTTTTGCAACCTAAAACCTAACAAATTGAAGCTGGGTCAGAGAACTCCAAAGCTTGCAAAAGAAGGCCTAAGGCCCAGCAGCAGCAGCCTGCATTGCTTCACAGCTGGGCCTCATCTTCCAAACCCCAAACAAAGAGGAGGAATCTGCAGATCTCACTGTAGCTCCTGCTGGGTGGCCTCAGGCAGTGACTGACTTTGCATCTCCTTGGAGATCCAAGAGCCAGTGTACCCAGAGGTCAGAGTGAGACCATCCATTTTATAACTCTTCACATCCATAAGGGATACACTCAGGGGGCAGACTCAGTGAGCACCAAAGTCCCACTGAAGCAAATCCTGCCTCATAAGTACAGCAGTTCTCCCATTGTAGAAATAGCTGATCCTCACAGCCAATTGGCCTAGAAGTCAATTCCTTCCAGTGATACCAACTGCAACCAAGGCGTACCTCAACAAGACTGTGCACAAAGCCCACAAAGGGGAGCACCAAAAGTGTCCACCTCGGGTAATTAGGGAGGCTGAGCCACCGGGCCCTATAGGACACCTAGCACACAAGGCCACTCTATCAACACAGGAAAGCAGCCAAAATGCAGAGACAAAAAAAACATGTTACAAATGAAAGAAAGCAAAAGACTGGATATAGAGTTCAAAACCACGGTTATAAGATCACTCAAGAATCTTCTAGCCGAAACCGGTTTGGCTCAGTGGATAAGAGCGTCTGTCTGTGGACTGAAAGGTCCTAGGTTTGATTCCAGTCAAGGGCATGTACCTTGGTTGTGGACACATCCCTACTAGGGGTGTGCAAGAGGCAGCTGATCTATGATTCTCTCTCATCAATGTTTCTAACTCTCTATCCCTCTCCCTCTCTGTAAAAACATCAATAAAATATATTTAAAAAATAATAATATTCTAGAAACCACTGATAAATTTAGTGAGACCCTCAAGGATATAAAAAAGGACCAATTAGAAATTAAGCATACACTGACTGAAATAAAG